AAGCAAGCGCATTGTCACTGAGCTATAGCCTCAGCCTTTTCAGTTTTGACGTAGTCTCTCTTAAAGTTGTCCAGGCAAGCCGTGAACCATGTGACCAGGCCAGGCTGAGCGTACAGCCTTCCTGACCAAGCCTCTCAAGCAGCTTGCATTTCAGACCTGCACCACGGGGCCCGAGTCAGGCCTTCCCATTTTGTATCAACTGCTCACTAGTATGGTTTGCAGAAACACCAAACAAGCTGTGACATTTATGTAGCAAAAAGCCCCTTACATGCATTATCTCATTTGAACCTGTGAAGTAGATGAGACATAGAGTCAATATCTGTATTATCTGGATGAAGAAGCTATGTTTCACAAAAGTTAAATATCACCTTGAGGTCAGGCATCTACTAAATACAGTGGCTAGAGGTGAACCTAAAGTTAGATTATATTACATTTTCACAGCTAGCTCATGAACTACAGTGAAGAAGTTGTCAAAGGTGCTATATATTTTAAGATATATATATATATATATATCAGACTTTTCCATTAAGCCAGTGCTATCAACAGAGGCTAAATACTTGGCCATCCCTAAGCTATAATATTTAGGTCTTGATTAATGTCGAAGAGCAGGCTCAGTCTCCAGTTGAAACTGACCTCAGCGTGGGAGGAGGTTGTACCTCTTGGTTAGAGCCAGCCTTTGTGAACCACTTAGCATGAGTTCTTTTTCTCCTAGGGATTAAGGAGAGTTCCTTTGGGAATACCTCAGGTCCAGCTGGTATCCCAACAGCACATGCTGTTGGGATACCTTGTTGTTACTGATTCCTAGAGCGACCAGTCTGCCCTGTGTAGAACACTCGTGACAGTTAGACTTGCGTTTACTTCCACGCTTGCTTGTTTGAGCTGTGTGTTCTAAACTAGCTTCGTGCTGTTGAGGACCCTGCTCTGCATGCTTTGCATCTTGCCGCAGCATCCGTCATTAGTCACGGAGTGTTTCTGCAATGCCTCTTGCCACTCCTCTGAGTCTGTTTATACCTAGCCACCTAGAATTACCTGTGTACTGTCCCTTTTCATCTCTCAACCTGTGGATAGGCTGCTTTCCTCCAACACTCTTGCCTTTGGGCCTGCCTTTGTTTCTCCAGAGAATTCTTGGCTGTCTTTTGAGACCCGGCTTGCCTCTTCTTTGAAGGCTTCTCTGTCATTCCCCCTCAGAAGGTCCCTTGCATAAAGCATGTTTAAGAGCCTGCTCTGTGCCAGGCACGTGCTGGGCACTTGGCATAGTGCACTGCACAGTGGCCATTACTCTAGTGTGAGAGGTAGGCCATTAAATAAGTAAAAGCTCCCCAGGAGAAGTAAATGACTGGGTGGTGACTCTGATCACATGAGATATGGAAAAATGAGAAGGAAGTAGGGATAGAGGTGGATTAACATGATACTGTGACTACTTACTTAGTTATTCTTGGCTACTCAACCTCACCCTCACGTCCACTAAACCAGCCTTGAGCTCTGTCTCAGCACATCACATGGCAGTTCCACCACTGGGATGTCACCTGTTAGGATGATGTCGTGCCCTGTGGTTCTAATGGACACATCTGACAGTAGACAGGACTAGGTGCTGGCCCCCATCTTCACATCCTGTTCCTTCCATTACTGTTTTGACACATTATGAAAGTTATTCAGTCTGTAGGTGACTTGATTTGCTGATCTCTGAGGTGGTAATAAGAAGACTCCACAGGCTTACTGTGTGGGTTAAATCAGATACTTAGCCAGAAATCCTTCGTCCAGAACCTGACTTTTGGAAGATAGCCTATAAGTTGTTGGTAGAAATGCTTTAGTACTTGTGAGGTTCACTGAAGAAATGAGCTATGTCAGAATAATGAAGTTAAAGCCTAACTTCAGTAAACAGAGCAAGGCCAAAACCAAAACTAAACGCCCTGATTTACCCACAGTTGCTGCCTTTATTATATAATTTAATTTGGACAAGGGAGAAAAAAAGCAAAGGAAAACTCGAGACACAAGTGACTCTCAAACCAGGTCAGCAGCTGCTGTGGTCTCTTTATTTGCTTGTATGGCAGCCTGTGAAAGTGCCTTGTACCGTTTGATTTACCCTCTTCTGATAGTTCAGGACTCTTGTGTTCTAGCCTCAAGTCTCAGAGAAACAGCTGTTCACAATCTTCTGACCTTGGGCCTCCCTCAACTTGTGCATTTCCATCTTGTAAACAGCACAGTAGGCACAGGCTGTGCTGGGAGGGATCGCATTGAGCGCCTCCTACTTCCCTAAGTAGAGGCAATCTTCAGAATACCGTTAGCCAATAAAGTGATGCCAATACCAGAGAAAATGACAGTTTTGTTTTATTCTGTTAACTTTTATTGATTCTTTGTGGATTTCACATCATGCATTCCAATCTCCCTGTCCCCTCGAATCTGACCTCTGCCCTTGCAGCAGCCTCCCACCCCCGGAAAAAAACCCACAAAATTTAAAAGAAAAACCAAAGACCAAACATAACAAGCAAACAAACAGAAAGGAGAAGAACCTTGTCATGGAAGCTGTAATATTGCCCATTGTGTCGCACAGGTTACCTTGAGTCTGTCTGTTCATCTTGACTTTCAAGTATGCACTGCCAGGAGTCACTGGAGTCTTTGGTCTGGCCCTAGGCCTCTGGTCTCTGCTACAGCCCTGATAATGGGCTCTCACTGGGGCTCCTCTTGAATATCCTGTTGTCCTGTGTCATGGAGATCTTGCAGTTTTGGATCTGTAGGTTCATTCTCTTCACATGTGCCAGCAGTTCATAGATGTGATGAGTGTTAGGGTGGGCAAACTCATAGCCCTGGTTCTGGGCCTGGGTGGCAGCTAGGTTGGTCATCCTGCCAACTTTTCCTCCTTGTCACTCCCCTGAGTGAGCTTTCCGGCACTGCCTTAGCCAGCCACCTTACCAGTGCAAACAGTAGCAGGGAGCAGGGCTAATTCTCCTGCTCTACGAACCTCAGATCCAGGTCACCCACACTCAATACAGGGGGCATCTGAGAGGGCAGGGCCAGCTCTGTTGCTCTCAGGCTCTCAGGGCTGCCTCACCCGTGACCCCAAACAGCAGGGTCAGCTCCAGTGTGCTGCCCATGTGAGGTGCAGGGCCCGCTCTCTTGAGTGTTGTAGCTGGTGTGGGGCAGGGTGAGCTCTCACACTCTGGTGACCCTGGGGCCAACTCTCTAGCCTGCCATAGGTAGCAAGAGGTGGAGGGGCATCTTTCCCTCACCCATGCCACTGCCTGGGGTCAGGGATCAGCTCTCCTGCTCTCACACCTTCAGTCCTGTATCCCTGACCACAGTGTCAGTTCTAGTGTGCTGCCCAGGTAAGGTACACACCTGTGCTGAGGGGTGGGGACACTTTCCCAAGGTGGGGGCAGCTTTCCCCTGAGGGGCAGGCCAGCTATCCCAGGGCCAGCGAAGGGCAGGGCTGGTTCAGTACAGCATGGTTCCAGTGACACCCTGTGGGACCATGGTCCATGTTAGAACAGTTTTCTTCAGTCAGAGACCATAGTCCATGTTAGAACAGTTTTCTTCAGTCAGAGACCATGGTCCATGTTAGAACAGTTTTCTTCAGTCAGAGACTGATTAGTGTAGGATATCCTTTCTGCTGCTACTACTGTTACATGCATACAAGCAATTGGAAAGTGTTAATGAATACTGGTGTTAGGAGGAACTTAAGAAAAATCTCTGTGGTATTTTTAATTGAAAACACTGGGATCATGATTGTTGTTCTATAAACATTGGCTTCCTGTAAGTACTTTGTTACAGGAACCCTTGGGTATGGGTATAATAGTTTTTTGTTTTGTTTTTTATAAAAAAACAAATCACTGAGATGGTTACCGGAGTTTTGCCAAGAGATATTTCCCGGGTTGTATTTATTTACATGAGAAATTTATTCTGCCTTTCTAAATGTAGTCAGCACAGTTTAGAAAATACCTCCCACCTCTATGGTTCCAGAAATCAAACCATGTCATTGGAATAAGGAAATAACTAGCAAACAATTGCTCTTTCCCTTTTAATGTCTGTGGCATTGGCATCAAGGTTTTCATTCACAGATAATGCGTCTTAACATTATTCTGGCTGCAGGTATTAAAATCTGTTTTCTATGCTTCATAAATGTGAGAGCCATACTCACCTATCAAACCACATACAAGTCCCTGGAGAGAGCCCCGTTTGCTGATTGGTGGCTCCAGCAGGGTGGTGGGTTGTGGAGCTTGTCAGGGGTAACTAAAGTGCCTCTGATACTCTAGTATAGACATCTGCATTTTAGTAGTGGTACAGGGATAAAGAACCAAGAACATCAGAGATAATGTCATGGTTTTCAGATGGCAGGCTCTTTTTATAAATGAATAGAAAGATTTCTGATAATGGAAAGGAAATTTGCCGTAACAAATACATTCCCTTTGCTGCACTCTGGCCTGGCACCAGTTAAAGTCTACTATATGTATAATATACTCTTGATTCCCAACAGCCCCCAGAAGAACTAATGTGAAAAGTATTATATGTTCTTACATTTTACAAGTAATGAACAGATGGAAAAAATTATACTGATTCATAAAGAAATTTGCATGTAATATAACACACCTCAAAATGGTGTTTATGTGGTCAGGTTTTTTTTTCTTTTCAAAAGTATTAGAGTTGCCTTGAATAAAATTTAGATAGCACTTGGACTTTTATAATGCTCCATCTATAATTTACTTGTATTTATTTTTCCTGCAAATATGAATGCTTGAAAGTATAGGTGACCCTGAGGTGAGTGAACTGGTGAAGACTGCATTCAATGCAAGGGAAATTGCAGAATGATTATTCACCGCACACAAGGGCTTGTCGTAGGGCAAACTTTCTTAAAGCCTTTCAAATTTAATTTAGTTTATAAAACATTCATTTGCACACTGCATTTCAGGAACAGGTTCAGTGAGGAGATGAGCCCGAGTCAGTCATGGGCAGGAGGTAGGTCCCTAACACTGCTAATGTCAAGGCTTTCTCTGTTCCCCCCGCAGCACTGATCGCCATTGGGCGGTACAGCGTGACCATAGAGACGGTGGACGTCGGATGGTGTAAAGAAATCACGGATCACGGAGCCACCCTGATTGCACAGAGCAGCAAATCCCTGAGATACTTGGGACTGATGAGATGTGATAAAGTAAGATGGACTTGTTTGTTTTCTGCATGCAGTTGCTATAGTAACTAGCTTAATGCCATGTTTTCTTCCTACATGCCCATGCACACTGCTAGCCATGCGGTTTTTGCCCTGATTTGCTAAAGTATTCGGGAATTATTTTTGTATTTCTGATCAGTAATGGCTTTCTGTACTTAAAAGGGGAGGAGACATTCACATGGTATCATAGTAGAATTTAGCTTCCTATCCCTAAATTCACAGAGCAGAATTTAAGAGGCTGCTGCAAACTGCGATTTATACAGTTTAACAAATGAAATTCTAGAGTTGAAGTTTCCTGTAACAGCAAAGTGTCAAATTGGCTTTTCATAAGCGTTCATTCCATTTCTCCAGACATATGTGTTCTGGCCTTTGGAGGCAAGAAGGGGCCAGTCTGTGTCTCCCTGCACATCAGGTTGTCTCTCCTATCGCACACTGTGAAATGTCCCCAGAGGCCCAGCCAAAGTGCCATGGAGCCGTCCGTTGTCAGGGACTGAACATGAGTTTAGGAATGGGACTGCACTTAACAAGACGGAGAAGGAAACGGAGAGCATCTGTGCAGCCCACCGAGCCCTGAGCAGATGTTCTCTCCTTTGCAGCTTCCATGATTTCCCTATAACAAATTAAAGAATTAGTTCTTTATTTGCAATGCCAAATAAAGGCTGAGAAATCTCAGACACCTGAACAAGGCTCCATACCCAAAGTCTTTGACATCTGATTCCAACATTTCTTAAACATGCCAGAGGCAGCCTTTAGCCAGGAGGCATCTTGCTTTGAAAAGGTGTGTCTCGAGATGTGCTCTAACAAAGTGCTGGCATCTTCTTCCAGTTCACATGTCTGTGCCACTTCTGCAATGATGAGTAGGGACAAATTTATCACAAGAATTGATACTAAACAAACATGTTGCTCAACGGGCGTGTGTTTGTCTACATTTTCCAAGTGTAGACAAATCTGGGACAAAAATAACAGTGGTCCAAATCCATTGTGTGCTTTGTCATTTTTGACAATAGATCTAATTGTTGTTTCCAAGGTTTTAAAATCTCAACTGCTCTAGACCTTTGCTGGTTATGTTCTAGAGACTATATTGTATCTCAGCCCAGCGCAGAAAGCTACTTGCTTTGTATCTTAGCAACAGCACTGAGACCCACAGGAGCAAGTCTCCCTCAACACTCATCGCTGGCTGAGAGAATGCTGATGCTAACCTTGTCACTTTACAGCTAAAGGGTCCGCAATCAGCAGAGATCTCTGGAAACACAAAACACTAATAGGCAAGCTCCTCAGCATCCACCAAAAAACCATGCCACATAAATGCCGTCTCAACCAAGGACTCCAAAGTGAACACATTTAGAGCCACTCTCTCTAGCCTATCCTCTTTATATTTTGTACCTTGAAGATCAGCTTCACCTTCAGATAAAATTGCAACCATTTATGTTCTTGTTTCTTAGTTTAGAACACTATTCCATCCCATAGGCCAAGCAGAATTTTGTTGATTTTAAGTTTAAAAATTCTGGACTTTAAAAAAAGACTAATTATAAAAGCACAGATTACTGCAAAAATGAGATAGAGAGGTCATAGCACTTAGTGGTGTCCCCGAGGGTTGCAGTCTATTCTGTGTTCGGTTCTGCATCCTTTCTCAGAAGACAGCTCTGTGAGTCTGTTGCCTCTGACACAGTACCGTCTGGCCATAGCCTGCTGCAGTTCAGCCCAGCCCAAGGAGCTCAGTCTTTCTGTCTGGCTTCCTGAGACTCAAGTCTGCTCAGAGCCAAACATGAGGGGTTCAATGAGAACAGGAGACATTTCCAAGCCACACACGACATGCAAACAAAGTATTGAACAGAAAGTTGGATGGAAAATCCAAGCTAAAGCAGTTTTTCAGATTTCTGATTTTGCTTTATGTCATCCATCTTTAAATTCTCATCAAGACCCAAAGAAAGATTTGCATGGAGGAGAAAAGCAGCCCATAATAAGGGGAGTGTCCTCTGGAGCCAGAGTGTGGGTTCAGATATAGGCTTACACACTTAATAGTAGAGTAATCCTGAGCACAACTTCTTGCAGCATTTGTGAAATGAGGATTATCCTAGTACCCATCTTGTAGACTTGTGAACATTTAAATAAATTAATGAATATAAAGTACTTAGGATAATGTCAATTATATATAAAATATCCTGAATTACTATTCTTTTTAATGACATAATAGCTTGTACTGTACAGTGGTATGTGAGTTTACGAATATAATACACACACACACACCACATCACATTTTGGAAGCAAATTTAAAGAGGAAATAAAGTACTCAAACTATAGAAAATACCTTTGTAGTTTTTCACATCTAAACTTCTGTGTTCTATAGAAAGATACCAATAATCACACTTTCTCTACATTTCACTGATAAAAACAAATGTCTCCATGGAACACTGTGCATTTGAGTAAAGTTCCTACCCCATCTGCTCAGGCACAGAGATAAAGAAAGTATGAACATAAGACACTGATGTGGGTAGAGAAACTAGCAAGGAAAAATAAAGGCAAACAGGAGTAGAAATAAGAAACAGCAAAAGCAGGGCCAAGGCATGGAGATCTGCTGTGTGTCCCCAACATTTGGTCATCATGCCAACAAAGCATCAAGCAACCAAAGTGATGCATACCACTGTGTTGTTATAGCTCAACCAGTCCTGCTAACCACTAAGGTCATTAGTTAGCAATCCCCACCTTGCTTGGCACACTGTCTAGAGCCAGCCAAGGGCCAAGAGACTTCATCATTACACAACTAGACACCTGACCAAGAATGTGGCCAGCAGGATCCCTGAGCTGGGGAGACATGCCAGTGAGTTTGTACGTCTCTCCATCGTGTTCTGGAGTTCTCTGGGCCTCAGAAATCACAAAGTCAGCTGGGTATTGGGGGAGAATTCCTTTAATCCCAGAACTGAGGTAGAGGGGACAGAGATGAGGCACAGACTCTGGTTCCAGGTCATCCAGGAGACATAGTGAGACTCTGTCTCAAGAAAAGAAAGACTTGGTGGGGTCTAGTTGCATTTTCTTTCATATATAGGTTTCATTCGGTACTACTTATATTTAATTTGGAGGCTATATTTAGCCAAAGTTGTACTTTCCCCTACTTCTGCTTCTAAGAGGTTATAAGAAACATAACAAAATGTCTTTTATTTGTTGTAGGAAAATCTCAATATCTCTCTCTGTCTCCTCTCCTAACCCCCAGATGCAAAGCATTAAACATATTCTTTGCAGCTGAAAAAGCATGTACACGGATTATCAATGTCTAAGTAGATTTGCAGTAAATTTGTTTGGCTGCAACACTGCTGAGTCCTGGGGAGGCCTCCCCCAGCCCCCCAACCACTGGAGCCTTCCCCACGCAGCTGTAAAGTTAGGAAGTGCATTAAGAAGGCTCTGAGTAGCTTTTCAGATGACTGAATGGATAAGCATGTTAAAAGGTTTTGAAGCTGACGCCACATAATCTCCTAAACTTTAATGCATTGTAAAAACCAAGAGAAGAAAACGCTGTGTGAGACTGCTTTGATGAATTGGGGGGAGCTTATACTCTTAGTCACTGTTCAAAGACTTACTTGACCTTGGGAATTAGAGCTGACCTGAAATCACCTATCAGTTTGACTCACATTTATTTGGTGACTTAGTTAAAAGTACGTAGGTAATCGATGGGACGGAAATAAAAGCAGTGTGTTTACTGTAGCTTCCACAGCCGTAAACAGTCAGTGGTGACTTTGTTCATAGAAATCGTTTTCACGACTTCAGTGAATTCTAGACTTTAGAGATCTGTTTCTTATGATATTTTCCTTATTTCTTACAAGGCAATTTGGATAGAGAACAAAACTGAAACGGGAAAGAATCGCATGGGAAAGCTGTAGGGCAAATGGAAATGCAATGTTCAAGGTTAATGAAAAAGGTTTGGGGTAACAAGGTTGATGAGAAGAGAGAGGGCACAGTGGAATGGCATTGGCTGGAAAAGGAGACCTCGCCAGAGGCAACTTGGCTGGCTTGGGAAACCTCTGCAGTGTGTGTTAATACCAAAGTTTGGAGACACAGGCCTGAATTATGAGCAGTGAATAACATCATAAACGTAGCAATTCTCAAATGCCAAACCCTTGTGAAAAGCAGTTGGATGGAGAAATGCTGGAGCTTTTAAAAGCTCCCTTTCACTTTCTATTTTTTTTTAACTTCATGCAGAACTAATTTTACACACTGTTCATTTGATTTGAAAATGCCAGCGTCTGGGGTATCATTAAAGAGCGTTATTGAGGGAGCCACTCTTGGCAAAGCTTTCACTTAAAATGCTTAGTTCTTATGTTCCTGCAGAGTTTTAAACTAGGAGAAAAGGTACCCCAGTTTATACCTCGGGCCACTCTGCCTTGCCCCCCACCACCACTCATCACCATTAGGCAGGTAGCTGCCTTCTGCTGCTGCCATCTCCCGGGCCACTAGAGGTGTCTGGAAGGCTGTGTGGACCCTGTTACTCCAGGCCTAGACATGAATAGACTGTGAAAGGTTCCCTCCAATGTCCTATGACCAAAGCCTCCTGGAATTCCTTTGATTTCTGGTTGACATAAATTAGAACTACACAGGCGTGAAGCGTCCACCAGGAAAAGATCAGGGAGGCTTCTGGGGAAGGAGGGTTGCCTTTGTGGCCTCTATCGATCACCCAGCTGCCTGCAGGCCAGGGGCCCAGCAGAGGCTGGCTCTTATTGGTCCGAAGTATGAAGATAATCAAATTAATTTATTTCTTATCAAAAATTCACTTCACTTCCCAAGACCGTCTTCCTCATCTGCCACAATTCTTGAAATTCTCAGTTGAAGAGAGAAATAAGTGATTTATTTTGATAAAGGTCGCTTGCTGTAATGTCTTCTCTAGGATGTAAGAAAGCCTGACTCTCGCGAGGAATTCCTTATTTAAGTGGCAGAGAGATGGCTAATGTGGAAAACAAGGATAAGAGCCAGTCAGCCAGAGCTCTGGTTACAGCCGT